AACATGTTGAAAAGACTGTTCACAGCACTGAGTTCTGACATGAAGAGACATGTGCACACTCTCTAGACTCTGATCACAAAGGTTAGGGAGAGAAGAGCAGAACAAGTCCAAAGCAATGACAAAGAAGGATATAACAACAATAACAGATTTAAAAAAAAAAAAAAAGACAATGAAAAAGAGACTAGAAACATGGGGGATGGAAATCAATTCAACAGAAAGCTGGTTCTCTGAAAAAAAAAAAAGAAGTCAATAAAATTGATAAGCGTAGCAAAGATAAAAGAGAGAAGATTCAAATCACTACTGTCAGAAATGAAGGATTACAGATACTGTGGTCATTAATGAGATAGTGAAAGAATACTATTAATTTTATGCTCACTTATGATAACTTGGAAGAAATGAAGCAATTTTAAAAAAACTACAAACTCCTTGGGATGGAGAGGTCCCTCAGTGGTAAAGAGCTGGGGATATTTATCCAGAATCCAGAGGACCATAAATTTGATTTTAAACACTCACCTGTAACACCAGTTCCAGGGGATCTAATGCCCTCTTATGGCCTCCATGGGTACCAGGCACACAAAGGGGTACAGAAATGAATACGGGCAACACACCCATAAACATAAAATAGTAAAATTTAAAAATACCCTAAAAACTCACAAAGTTTAATCATGATAAACTAGACAATGTGAATAAGCTTAAAACCATTAAACAAACTAAGATTTTAATTTAAAATACTTTAAAAAGAAATCTTCAGGCCTTTACCATTTCACTGGAGAATACTAACAAGCATTTAAGATCTAATATCACTTAAAAACAGGCTTGATGGTACATACATATAACCCCAGCACTTGGAGGCAAAGGCAGGAAGCTTTCATATTCGAAGCCAGACTCAGCTAAATACAGAGAGAGAGAGAGAGAGAGAGAGAGAGAGGAGAATATATGTGTCCCTCTAAAATGTAAAATCAAATCCAACCAAACACCAATTTTCTATCCTTTGTTCCAGATAATATGAGGGAAATATTGCCCATTATATATAATGATGTTACTGTTACCATGACACAAATCAAAGTAACATAGTACAAAAGAAAGTACAAAACTTAAGATCAAGCCCTCTCATGAACTTTGGTATAAAAATTCAAAACAGCAAATCAAACTGTTTCATATATAAAAATAATCATAACAAATAAGACTTACAATAAGAATGCAGGCTAATTCAACATGCAAAATTCAGTCAACGTAACTCACAACATTGTAGGATAAAGAACATCTGTATACCAACTGACAAAACAAAACAAAAACAACAGTTAACAAAATCTACTGTACAGGAACTGGTAATATACACACAGAGCTTCGCAGAAGCTCAGGAATTTGGAGCCAGACTAGGCAACACAGTGAAATTTTTCTCTTGACCCCAAAGAGACTTAACTTTTACTAGACCTTGCAGCCAAATTAATAACATAGGATCATTTAAGTCTAAGTTCTGGGCTTGCTATCTTCCTGAGTATGCAGCATGTTCAAGTTTAGCCAGCCTTTAAGAGGGCAATGCAACCAACCTTACTGTGCCTTAAATTTCCCATGAAATCAGCTCTTACAGACTAAGCTAAATGTATAGCTTTAACCTTAAGTTCCATATTCTTCCATGCCCCAACCTAGAATAATGTACATATGTGCAGTGCTAATCATTTACGAAAACAGCCAAAATGTAAAAAATAACTTTAAACAAAGCAAATATCCATATATATTGGAAGCAATATATGATATAGGTTGGTAACTCTTTTTAATTTTGAGTTATATTCTAGGCGACTGGAAGTCAGTAAAGTAATCCCTTCCCTTGTAAACTCTGCTAAAGAGCTCTGTAAAGAATAACTTGTTTCTTTCCCACACCAGGTTTTCTGTGCAGTTCAACAAATACAGAGTAAAGCCCTTTCTTCAGGTCAGACAGAAGACACAAGAGAAAGAGACAATTCAAACTGGGACTCATTCTTGGTCAAATTAATCCAAAGAAAGGCTCCTTTATTTTCATTTCTTAATGTATTATAAATGCAACAAATAAGCATAAATATGGATTAGAAGGCTCAACACAGCAAAGATTTTTAGTTCTTCCTAAAAATTGATCTACAGATGGATGAAATACCTACTAATCAGTAGAGATTTTTGGCTTTGTTATAGTTTTATTGGAATTGTGTCAAAGTTATTACTGGAAGGACTAGCCCTGGTCTTTTTGTTTTATTATTTATTTATTATTTATTAATTATTTATTTACTCTGTATACAGTGCTTTGCCTGCATGTACATCTGCATGCCAGAAGAGGGCACCAGATCTCACTATAGATGCTTGTAAGCCACCATGTGGCAGCCGGTGCTCTTAACCACTGAGCCATCTCTCCCTGTGGTTAGCCCTGGTCTTTTTAAAAATAAGAACAAAGCGAGAAAAATCACTCTACTCAGTATAAAGGCTTTCTATTCTGTACATGTACAGTAATGAAGGCAAAGGGAAGAGCAGTCTGATCAGTGAAAAACAGGAACCCATGAGGCCCATACAAATATGCATCCATCGGTTTCTAACAGAAACACACAAAGATTTCTATAAATGGACATATATAAAATCAAACAAAAAAACTTAATTTAGTCATGCACGATACAAAAACCAACTAAAATGGATCACTGACTAAAAATATTAAAAGCTTTTAGACTATGGAAGATCCTGAGGATAATGGAGCAAGCCACAGAGAAGGAAGAAAGTATTTTATACTATATATCCAACAACAACAAATCTATATTTAGAACATATAAACAATGCTCAAAACTCAATAAAAATATCCAAAGATTCTGGTATAATAGGGCCAAAAGAATGCACCTAGATTCAGTGAAGATATAGACAGGAATAAGAACATGAAATAATGTCCACTATTATTGACCATCACAAAAAGACAAACTAACTAAGACATCACTAAACGCCCATGAGATTCCTAAAATTAAAACTATACAAATGTGGAAGCCAGAATTCAGAACACTTAGATTTCTTGCATTGTTGATGGGAATGTAAAATACTACAACTTTTTTGGAATGTGGTTTCTTACAAAATCAAACAGGCTTAATCCCAAAGAAATCAAACATTCATGTGCAAATGACAAACTATACGTGAATATTCATAGCAATTTCATTTGTAACTGTCAAAAACTGGAAAGTATTCCAGTGTTTTCCAACAGATGATTACTCAATCCAGCACCTCTACACTAAAAGGAATACAATAATAAAGGAAAAAAATACTGACAGACATACAATTTGAATACCTTCAAAGAATTATGACAAGTAAAATGAATTAATCCCAAAAACAGTCACATACTATCTGATCTCATTTATTTCGTTTTCTTGACATGCTGCAATTATAGCGATAGAGAGCAGATTAACAGGAGTTTTGGGTCAAGGAGGAGGGTAGGAAATAAAGCATCTGTGATGAGGCTGGGTTGATGGATCAGAGGTTAAAAGTGCTTGCTGCTCTTCCAAAACACCTGAGTGTGATTCCCAGCACCCATATCTGGTGAATCACAACTGCCTGAGAATGCACGTCTAAGGAAGCCAACATTCTTTTCTGGCTTCCAAGAATATCTACATATATGTGCAAACACACAAAATTTTTAAGTGCAAATAAAGAGGTAAATACTTGCCTACCACATACAATTCCCAGACCCTCAAAAAACAAAACAAAACAAAAACAAATGCACAATCCTTGTAAAGGAACTATTTAGAATTTTGACCATGAGCATTGTAAGTAAAACTATAATGAATATATGTAAAGCTAGTGATCTCTGTACCTGACAAATTCTGTGAATATCAGTTTTCTGGTTGTAATATTATACTGTAAGTGATCAAAATATTACCATCAGTGGATACTGGATAAAGGGTGGATAAGTTCTCTCTATATTTATAACAACTGCAATAAAATCTACAGTTATCTCAGAATAAAAGGTTATTCATTTTTTAAGGGATGAAAAAAAGGCCATCTTTCTACTTCATTTTATTTCTGTGATTCTTAAGAGTCCCGTATTAGAATAAAATTCAGTTTATGAAGTTTGATACTAATAAAAAAAGAAATACTGACATAAATAGGGCTGAAGGAAAGCTCATTCTTCAATAAGGATTCCAATGTAATAATAAATATAAAACCATTTTGGAAAATATAAAGTAGCCGTTAGAGTACCATGCAATAGTGGATGCAGGCACACTCCTTAGATGTATCTTGCTATAATGGTAAATATTTCAAAGCAAAAGTACATTTGAATAGTCCCAATAAATCACCCCTACAATACTGCTATGGTTTTAATACACATTGTCCAAAGTCCTTATGTTAAAGGCTTGGTCCCCAAGTGGTAGTAATTTTATGAGGTGAGGCCTTGTGAAAAGGTGTTAGGACATTGGGATAAGCACTTGAAGGTGAGTGTTTGGGCAATACAAAATCTTTTTTTTTTTTTTCCCACATCTGTTTCCATTAGACTAATAGCTTCTAATAGCATAGCATAATGACATTGTCTTAGAGTGTTTCATTGCTATGAAGGGACACCATGACCATGACAACTCCTATTTAAAAAAAAAAAAAGAAGCATTTCATTGAAGGTTGCATATAGTTTCAGAGGTTGAGTCCATGATCCGCACAGCAAGAAGCACAGAAGCACACAGACAGACATGGTGCTGGAGAAGAAGCCAGGAGTTCTATATCCAGATCTGTAATAATAGAGGTAGCCACCAGGCCTAGATTGAGCTTCTGAAATCCTAAAGCCCACCCCCAGTAGCACTCTTCCTCTAAAAAAGCAGCACCTACTCTGACAGGGCCATACCTCCGGATCCCTTCAAACCGCCCCACTTCCTGGTGACCAAGCATTCAAGTCTATGAGCCCATGGGTACTATTCTTGTTCAAACAACCACAGACATCAAATATATTAGCAATATTCTGCTCTCAAAATGAGTTGTCTCACTGGTGCATCCCATATAAGATCTTGTCTCACCTGGCCAGTTCTTTAATTAAGTTGGCAATGCGTCTTTTGTCTTCAAGACATAAATCTTTCAATGATGCACTCTTCATTCCTCCCTTGCAGAAACTCTACAATAAAACATCTTCTGGTTAACTTTTACTAAAAATAATTTTAAGTACTTTCTGAGAAATTTATCAAATTAAACATGGAAAGTAAAATTTCTTAGAAATCATTTATCTGGTTGATTACTACCCACATTTTTCATTTAAACCTACTGTGAATTCCAGACATGATAGAAAACTGATAGCAAACCAGACAACACCATGGAATTTACAGAGAAATGGACACAGAATGAAAAGATATGTCTGCTAAGTATTAGAGAACATTTACCTTTCCCATAGTGAATGTTAGGGTGACACGTATCTCTGGAAGACACTGAGAATCTCTAACACTGTAGCCCCAAAATGGTTTAAGGCACATAACGGCTAGACAGGAGATACTAGTTGTTGATTTTTAAAAAACCAGAATTCTTAAGGGCCAGATCTAAGAAAAACTAGAATTCACCTCTAGTGTTTTCACATGCCAAGAATAAAATAAGTGCTTTTTATCTGTTACTCTATCTCATTTTCACAGCAGTGCAATTAGACAAACATGTTTCAATTCTTCATTGAGTTCATAGCTTGGCCAGAGTTATAGCAGCTAAGGAACAAGATGGAGCTAAGGAACAGACATGGATTCCAGGTTGTGCTCTTAAACACTATGGTTTTTTGTTTGTTTGTTTGTTTGTTTTTGTTTTTGTTTTCAATGCTGTAGGGTCTCTCCAGTACTGTAACATGAAATTCAAGGAGTCACAAGAGAATAGGAACATTAGTTCCTCATTCCAGCATTTGTGCAATGGCCGAAGTAACTTACCACAACCTTTCACCTAACCAAAACAAGCAAAGATCCTTAAAATAAATCCTAGACATAGATAAGGTTAAAAAAGAGGGGGAGGGTCCTTGAAATAAAGTAAATTTGGATTTTGGTATGATCAACTTAAGATGCCTTTAAAGACTTCCATGTGAAAACATTTGGGAAATTGGAAAGGTAAGTCTGTCACTCCCATTAGAGATTCAGAGTTCAGTACTATCATGGGTGCCTTAGGTTTTTATAACTTCCTTCATATATTTACCATGCTTAATTTTTCTATAATGACATGTACAAATTAAGACAAAATATTAGTTTTTTAAAACTCAGTTTAAAAATCAAAGCACTGGTATTCTTATAAATTTTTAATTAATATCATTTAAAGTAAATTTAAACTTAAATTGCTACTTAAAAAGTACAAAAAGAGATTCAGAAGAATATAATATTGTAGGCAAACTTTTAAAGATGAGCACAAAGTCAATGTTAAAGACTGAAAAAGTCAAACTGGGGAACTTTGGAAACCCCATTTCTCCTTTGCCATCTGGCTCTCTGATAAACCCTGCTTCAGAAAAAAACTAGATTGAGATCAAGGTTGTAGGAAAGAAAAAGAATTCAATCTTTCCTGCTTCCTGGCCTTCGATGCCATTCCTGTCTGTGTTAGTTACACAAGGACAACTGCTTCCAGTTCAATAATTGTTTCCAGAACTTACAGAACTAGCTTTTCTGAGCCTCTGAGGGACAGAGAGCAAAGCCAGTCAGGGATGTAACCTGTCACAGAAGTCCAAGCTTCAAATTTAAGCCCATTCCCCTAAGTCTTATTTCTAAGTCTTATTAATTCAAACCTGTCCTTGTTCATCCAACCCTGGGAAGTTGTGGCTCTGTTTTACAGTTAATACTTCCTTGATACCTTACTGTTTCCTTTTGGGTTTTCCAGTACTTATGTAACAAGTTTTTTTGTTTGTTTGTTTTTTGTTTTGTTGTTGTTGTTTGCTTGTTTGTTTGTTTTATTTATCTTCAAGTCAGGGTTTCTCTGTGTAGCCCTGGCTGTCATGGAATTCACACTGTAGATCAGGCTGGACTCAAACTCAGGAGATTCACCTGCCTCTGCTTTCCACGTGCTGGGATTAAAGGCATGCATAACCGTAAGATTTATTTATTTTTGTTTTATGTGTATGCTGCTTTCACCTGCATGTGTGTTTATGCAGCACATGTATTAAGTGTCCTCTGAGGCCAGAAGAGGGCATAAGATCATCCAGAACTGGAGTTATAGGTAGTTGTTAGTCACTATGCAGACACTGAGATTCCAACCTAGGTCCTCCAAAAGAGCAAGTGCTCTGAAACACTGAGCCATCCCTCCAGTTACATCTCTCAGTTAAAATGGCTCAATACATGCTGACATATTAGTTAAAAGACATTTTATAATTACTATATACAGCATCAAGAATTCTCATGATTACACTAAAGAGCAAAAAACTTAGTCCTACAATACATATTATATGAGTATTTATAAAATATTATATCAGTATTTATAAAGTTTATATGCGTATTTATAAAGTATATGAGTATTTATAAAATTCCAAACATATAACGATAAACATTGCTTAAAATTAAAATATATCACTCTGTATAGGACAGGAGTTTGAAAACTACACCTGAAAGCCAAATTTGGCTCACTATTTTGTAAATGAAAATTTACAACAAAACCCCACCAAGTCAATCATTTAAATTTCCTAAGATTCTTTTCATGTCACATGGGGTAAAGCTGGGTAATTGAGATGGATGTTTATGGTCTCAAGCCAGAGAACAAGCCAGCACATGGCATTCCTCCATGCATTTTTTTTTTTAAGTTTCTGCTTAAGTACCTGTCCCATCTTCCTTCTTGGGCTATGACCTGGAAGTGTGTGCTAAATAAACCCTTCCCAAGTTGCTTTTGGTCAGAGCATTTTATTACAGTCAGAGAATAAAACTGGAAATTGTGCAAATGAAACGATATGATTGCTGAAAGAAGTGTAATTAGCAAATAGCTTTCATTTATGCTATTAATAAAATAATGTACCATAGTACTCATGCCAGCACCTACTAATAGCAGAAACACTGAAACTTGCCATTTCTATTCCAAATGCCATTCAAAACAACACACTGTTCTGCAGTTCGCCACCAAATCCTGTTCATTACCAGATGAGCATTGGCAAAAGATATCAAAATGTCTCCACAATTAAACACGAGGAATTGTGAAACATTTCCTAATAGTCTGAAAGTAAATGTTTGGGGTATCTAGGGCTTTGTGGGGTGATAGCCACTAAAGCAACTTTGTGATTCTATAAACCAGTCACAGCACAGACAACACCTCAAAAAATGAGAATACCTGGTCAGAGGAAAAATCATTTACGAAACAAGCTGTTGTGTAGCTGTTTACTCCAAAATGAAGTTATATTCCTCAGAAAGGAAAGACGCCTAAGACTCAGGATGCTACAAACCTCCCAGGGCTCAGAAGGGGTAGCTCAGAAAGTTATATCATTCCCCAAAATTCTAAAACAGGGCACAGCTTCTGACAAGAGTTGCTGCCTCCAAGTTGAGCGGAAACCTCCAGGACATAATGTTTCTGAGTTGTCACACAGGATGGGGTAGATTTGAGAGTAACCCAAGCTCTTGTAAGTAATCCCAGTAAATTCACTGATTCTGCAATCTAGACTGGGATGAAATAGTTTCTTTAGTCTGTTGTCGGTGTCCTGTCTGAATGAATATCAGATTCATCAGATCTCCCCGGAAAAAGTCACAAAACATAAGCAGAAGAAAGATTCTGTCCATGAGCTATAGATTACAAATACTAATGTCAACTTTAATTGAAGAAAGGAAATGGAGCAACAGTTATAGCATTACAATAAAGTGATTTTTACTTTGAAATAATTAAAACAAACAGAAAGAAAAAGACATGTGCCAGAGGAATGGGCAGACACTATTATGAAGACAAAAAGGGGGCCAACCAGCCACTGGCCTATAAAAACCAAGAATTATTGTCACAGGAGATAATTCAATGGATAAAGAGTGCTAGCTCTGTACGAGTTAGGATCCCCAAAGTCACATAAAAGCCAGGTAGGCAGTGGTGGCCAATTCTAATCCCAACAGTTGGGAAGCAGAGACAGAGAATCCCCTGGGAAAATAGGCTGGCAAGACTAGCCAGATTTGGCCTCTCTGGGTTCAACATGATACCTTGACTCAAGAATCAAGTAGAGAGGAATTGAGGAAGAAAACTGATGTCAAGTTCAGCCCTCCACATACACCAATATATACATACATGGAGAGGCACAACACATACATATGCAAAGGAAGTTTTGTTTTGTTTTTCAATAACACAGAGCAAAACAATTTTTAAGTCAATAACATTGAAAGTCACAATAATTCAGGCTCATTTTCTTTATACAAGCTTTGTTTTACTACAAAAATATCAGCCATCAACAAATACATTTCTAAAAATAAAAACATAAAGGATACCTAAGCATAAAAATAGTAAATTTGATTTATCAATTAATGCTAGAAAAAAAAGAAAAATGTAAAATAAGATACATAGCACTACCCAGGATCACTAAAGGTTTTGTACCTTCTAAAGATACAAAAAGACCTTTTTTTAAAAAAAAAAAGGTCTTGTGTTTTCACTGAGCAGTTTTTAGGCTAGGGAGATAGCTCGGTCAGAAAAGTGGCTGTCCCTCAAATGTGAGGACCCAAGTTCAAATGAGGACATAGCAGCATTTGTCTGTAACTTGACCACTAGATGAGGACGCTGTAAAGGACAGAAACAGTGGATCACTAGAGTTTGACCAGGGTGAGGGCTAGATTCAATAAGAGACAAGAGACCTGTGTTACAAACAAAAACCCCCACCACAACCACCAAAACAGCAAGAAAAACCCAACAAAGTACAGTGATAGAGAAGCAGAGGATAACCAACTTCTGGCTTGCATACATGCACACATAAGTGCACTCATGCCCCCCACACGCATACAACATGTATATACACAAAAACCCGAACAAATGAGAAAATATTACTGACCTGTTCAGTTACTGAGTCTCCTGCACCTTTTAAAGACCCAATGCAGACGGAAGCATCAGTCATCCTGGAAGTTTTAATTTTAACATCAACTTTTGGATTTCCCAACTTGAGTCTCGATCTTGTATTTCCTTCTGTGGAGATACCTAAGAATGTTCATTAAACAAAACTTCAGAATTTGATCTTCTTAATCTTTTCAATTTAAAACTCATATGTGTCAAAACAAGGTTATCTTAAAGAAGTAATTCAATAATTCAGTTAGGTGCTATGAATATTTATAAGTTACATTAAAGGCAACAAATTACAACATATTGAGAAAACATGAAAAAAAATCAGGCTTTTCACCTAGAGTAACTGCAATGAGTCCACTTGATTACTCACTCATCCAACTGAACAGTCAATAAGCACATAGTCTTCTATTTAACCTGGATCAACTTTTCATATTTTCTTATGAGATATGAAATACAAATTTGCAAAAAGAATCTCTTCTCTTGAATAAATAAGAAACATTTTATGAACCATAAATGCTGACTTCCCCAGCCAGACAGACCCTAGGATGAGCCAGTATTTCAAATTTTAAGAGGATCTAGTCAAATATTCAAAAACTTTGCTTTTTAAATTTGGTTTTTGAAAAAAGTTTACATTCAAATGAATTTTTCCATATCCAATTGCACATACAATGTTTAATTTTCTCCTAACATTTAAGAAACAATGGAAGCTTCAAGAACTTTAACATAGATGTCATACCTGGAACATAAACTACTGATTGTTCTTCATCAGAAACTATGGAAGAAATCATGAAGGAAAATACTATAAAACATTACTAGTGATCCACTTGTTCTATATATCTATAATAAATCTTCATCTCTTTTGACCTTATAATTTATAGCTTACTTTTAAAAAACTAGAAAATAAAAACAATGAGTATTTTTATAAAGGCATAGTCATAACTTTATGTTTAGAAAAAATGTTGGAGGCCATGGTCCATCAATCTTTTCTCCACACTTGCTCCCAAATAGGATACTTTTGTGATTCATATTCTGCTATTATGCTGCTTTCCTTTTACAAACCATGGAGAAGCTGACAGCTATTTTAGGAATGAAGAATAAATAATTTCAAGATAGGCATTAGCTTTGAAGATCAAACAATGTTTTAAGCCAAGTCAATCATACAAACACAAAGGCAATATTTACTCTTCTGTAACACATTCATAAAATGTCCCAAGGTGCCCTACTATAGAAGTCATAAGAAAAAAGTTTAGGACGGTAAGGAGAAATTCAGAAAAAAAAAATATACACTTTCTGTAGCAAATATATATACATAGATGTTATTATATATATACATACGCATAAGAACATCTATAAAGTCAACATAAGAGTTAGTTACAAACTCAGGATTACATGGAAGGCCCCAATGAAGTTCTGTGGGCTACTAAAAGAAGCAAACCTAGTAAACAGGGAAAACAGATTTTATTGGGAGGAGCAGTTGGGGGCAGGAGAAGATGGAAGAAGGAACAAAATACATTGTCTGTATGTATGACATTGTAACAAAATACATACTATGTATGTATGACAATGTAATTTAGTAATAAATAAATATTTAAGCTCAGCATCAATCCTAGTATTGGAATCGTTTTCTATGGAACACTAACTGGAATTGCCTAGCAATATGCTGGGCTTGGTGATGCAAACCTATAATTCCATCAGCTGGGGAGGCTAAGGTAGGAGGAGTTCAAGACCTACTTGGAGTACAGAATAACTTCAAGGCCAGCCCGAGTTAAGACCCTGTCTCCAAGGAGGAGAGGATGGGAAGTGTGGGCAGGGTAAGGGCTGAGGCTGAAGAAGGCTTATCTGGCATAAGCAAGGCCCTAAATTCTAACCCCCATACTAACAGAAAAGTAGGGATTCTCTGATGAAACCTACTGTTTGAGCTACTGAATAGTTTCTCACAGCCCTCTGCAGCACATGTGCTATCTATCACAAGTTTAAGATGTTGGTTGATAGGCTAGGTATGGTGGTACAGACCTATAATTGCAGCATTTAGAGAAGGCAGAAGATCAAGAGATCAAGGCCAGCCTCCACAACATGAAACCCTTTCTCAAATAAATACATAAATTGTCCTATTTCCTAAAACACTGTGATGGAGCTTTGATAGTTTTGGAGAATTAGAATTACTACTCCAAAGAAGCTAACTTTGAATTCACCAACAACCAATTTCAAAATAGCTCTATGACATAAAATGGTATGGTCTCCTAAACAAAGAAACCATTCTTTTATTCTATACACAGTCGGCACTCAATAAATGTTTGATGTTTAAAATGTTCTTGAAAAAAAAAAACAGAAAAAAAATCCAAGACAATAGTACAAAATAGGTTCCATTAAGAATGTTTTTAATTAGAAGATAAATATAGGATGTTCTCCAATGATGTCCTGGTAAACATGTTACATTTTTTTTAGATCATTCCACAACGGAACCTGCTCACAACTGGAAGAGAAGAGCTAGAGTGGAAATGGGCACCCTACTCTGTAAAGGAATTTTAATTCAGACCATGGCTGCTCTGTCAAGAGATCACATTCAAAGACTTTCTAGGTCTGTGTGATTCAGGTGTAATACAGACGTGCCTTTAAACCCAGGAGACAGAGGCAAGCAGATCACTGAATTCAAGGCCAACCTGGTTCACAACAAGTTTCAGGTAAAGAAAAGCTTAGGTTGAGGTGTGGTGGTAGAAGCCTTTAATCCCAGCACTCATGAGACAGAGATTGGCAGATCTCTGAGTTCTAGTCAGTTCTGTACAGGCTTTGGGTTGAGTCTGTGAGTTGAGAGGCAATGCAGAGGAGATGAGTTCCTGGCAGTTTGAGTTCATGCAATTCAGGTTTTACCTGGGGAATTTTTACAGAGGCTGAAGAGAGAACAAGCTAGACACAGATGAAGATAGAATGAGCCAGAGATTGAGGAGACAGAAGATTAGAACTGATTGCAGAGCTCTTCAGTGAGAAACTGAGATAAACCAGACTGAGTAAGTCAGCTTAGAAAGGAGTATGAGCCAGAGCAGCTAATTAAATCAGTTAGCCAGAGTTCAGAAAGAACTGGAAAGGGTGAGCTTATTCAGCAGTAAGTCTCAGAGCTGAAAACATTCTAGCTCTAGGTTAGCAGGTGGAGACCGGAAGCTCAAGCCTGCTAGTTCTAGGCTTACAAAAAATAAGATTGTACAGAAGCTGGAAGCTTCCAGGACTAGACCTGGAAGGTTAGCAAGGGCAATAAGCCTCCATGACAAGTACTTCAGGCAAGGAAAGGTTACCTTAACACAACTCAGCTTCAAAAGCTCAAGCAAGTATTTCTCCCTTTCTCCTCCTTCAATCCTGACATACTTCCACCATTCTTATTCTCAGTTAATAATCTACTTCCTATTTCCTTAAGAAAACAACCCATGAAGACCTCCCCACTCTCCCTTCTTGCAACAGAAGTGTTCACATCCTGATCTAAAGGCAATGGAGCCCTTATTCATGCATATGAACACACACACACACACACACACACACACACACACACACATCTTCCTATTAAGTATTCCTATTAGCATCTAAAGATGTACTACTTGTTCACTTTTTTCAAAAAAGGAAAAAAAAAATCCTTAGCCCTGCATCCCTTTACTGCACTACTTTCTGCTCTTTACAGCAAAACTGCTCGGAAGAGACTTTCCAATGTCTCCAGTTCCTCTGCTGCTAATTAGTCATAAGCCTATCACAATCAAGCTTTACTGTCAACCCAGTAAAGCTCCTTCTAATGCCCCATATTGGTAAACCTATCAATTAATTAGTATTTGATATAAATGAGCACTCATCAACATTTCTTTACTTAGCTTCAAAGATACTGCACTCACAATTTTCCTATGAATTTTGTAACAATTCCTGCTCCTTCCCCTTCAATTCCTTCTACTCTAGCCATTCCTTGTCACTTTGGAGAGTCCCCAGGACCTGATTTGGAGGCTTTTTTTTTTTTTCTTTCTTTCTTATTCTATTAGAGATCTATTCAATTATCCAGTCTTGAAGTACTTTCAGTGAGCTGATTTCTGCCAAATTAATCTTCAGCAAAAGCCTATCTGCTAAAGTTAACACTGACAGTTAGATACACAAGAGACCTCAGATTCAGTAAGTCCACTACAAAAGTCCCTACATTCATCTCAAAGGCCACTCCTCACATAGCCTTTCCCATACTCCTAGCTGCCCAAACCAAAACCAAAAGGCAAGAGTTATTCTTGACTTTAATTTCCTATCTCACATTCAGAAAATTCTATTGGCATAACTTACAACATGTACCTATAGCCCAACAACTTCTGACCAACAATGTTAAGCAAATCCAAATCACCAGGATGACTGCCATTGCCTCCTAACGGCCCTCTCTTGTTTTGACACAGCACTCAACATTCTACTTTTTACAGAGTCCAAACATTTAAAAACTCTGTGTCAATTCTATTCAGAATAAAAGTCTTAAGTAGTTACAAGGTCTACAATGCTCGGGATCTGATCCTTTCCTTTTACCTCTGTTCTCCTTTCTTGATACATTCCCCTTCACTCCTAGCATCCTGTTAGTGAGGACATAAGCCCCTGTGTTGGAGCTTTTGCATTTTTTATTTCTTCAGCTAGATAGCATTTTCTCAAAATCTTCATTCTTATTATCTTTAGGCTTTGGTCATACATTATTTTTTGACTGAGGCCTTCATTGCCTAACACATAGGTACTTAAAACTGAGTAATTCTCTCCAACTGTGATCCCTCACCTATGATTAGTAAATATATGCATTTCATTTATTCATAGCCTTATCTCATCTCTCTAAAATGTTAACACCAAAAAAAGATGACTTTTATCCTGTATATTCAATTTTGCACTCCCAAACAAAAAGAATATCTAGTTTGTACTAAGCCATTCACAAAAGGATAAAACTTATTTTTATGAGACATGAGCCCAATAACTCTAACTAATTTCAACATGCATTTTGAAAAATAGCATTGGAAGTTGAATCTTCAAATAACATATAACAATCTATTTTGTCTCATTAAGAACTCAAATAGTTAACTTATATGTATGCCCCCAACAAAGCTGTATTTTTTTTTTCAGAAAAAACAAAAAGACAAAAGGAACAGCAAATGGATATTGTACCTACATGCTACCTCATATTTTATTTCTTTAGCTAGAAATAATTCAAGAATTATGGGAAGTTATAAAAATTTTTGAGAATGATAATTTATCTATATTCCCAGAAGGAAAGTAGTAATTGGAATCCAGGGCAAAAGTGGTATAGAGGAAGAAGCATGTGAAAGAAATAAGCTATGTATTGCTTACTATACCCTCTGAATAGTGAATTATTTGCCAGCAAAACAGGTATATGTAATTATTACTTACCGCCGAGGCTTTGAGGTAAATTAGCTCTACATCAATGTAAAGTCTTCATCTATTTTTATTTAAGAACTCAGTGGCAGAAATGATAATTATTGCAATTTTTGGGCTATTCCCCTGTAGTTCAAAATTGTTAAAAATATTATTATTAGTAATACTGTTAATTCATGAAGTACAAATTAGTAATCAAATTTAGATATTGCAGAAAGAGTATCCAATTTATAACAATACTATGAACAATATGAATTAGTAAAGAAATCCACAACCGTAAGATTATGTTATACTAGATGATTTAACCCATAAAATACAGTGTAGCATTCTCATTTTTCATACATTAGATGTCAATACCTTGTGTCAAATAGCGCTGTTGATTCATAATATGGAAAAGACACAAACAACAACTTTTTTAAAGGTGATGATCAGTAACTGATTAACTGCTCTCTTGTAATGGAAACTTCTAGGATTGAGAAATCTCTCAATGACAATTATTTATTCAGGTGAAGCGCTAAAAACCTTTTATTCAATAATGTGCAAAGAATATCATAGGTGCGCACTATCTGGATTTTTTTTCTAGTGGAAATTTTATTCTGAGATGGTCTGGAAAATAATCATCAATGCAACAGAAAGAAATTGAAATACAAAGACCAAACGGTTCATACCTATCACGTTCTTTCAGCAAATAGTCACAATAGTGTAAATTTAATATAGCTGTTTGCCCTATGGAGATTTAGAATGAAAAAAATCAGAGGCTGAATGTTAACTGGTCATTAGATGGAATGGGTTGAGGAAAAAGGAACTAACAATAACTTTGAACTCCTTTCTCACATCTGAATTTCTACAGAACATAATTACCATCACATTTCCCATACAATTTCCATTTCCCATCATTCGTGGGTAGATCTGAATGCTTTACATTATTCAGCTGCATGAGAAAATGTAAAAGTTGGGGAATATATTATTACTTCTATAACAAATGATGAGTGTTATGACTACATAAATGAGTACAAGGCTGCCAACAACGAAAGCAAAGGTTTGGACCACACACTGTTAATTTCTTCAGTCCCAATGAAACAAAACTCCTCTGTTTTATATCACCTCCTCTATTCTATATCAGAAAAATACCATTAGCTGCTATAACCAAATAACTCTTTGTTTCCTAGGGAAAAGATTGATCCTACTCCCTGACTTCCTAATTCAGCACAGTGGTCCTGATGTGCATTTGTTTCCTGCCTCTAATGGGTAAAGGGGAAAATTTTTTTCTTTTCGCTTTGAGAGTCCATTGGTATGCTTTCTTCTACAGTACATGAAGGTAATTTAATTTGCTTCTCTTCCACCTATAGGAGACAAACAGTAACCCTGTTTAGTAAGTGCATAACACTAAACACTCAGCAGCACAGAATGCAAAAGTATTCCTTTCTGCACACATGAAACTCTTACTGAGTAACTCAATAAAGAAAACTGATAATACAATTTTCTAAGTTTCCCTAGGCAGAATGAATGTCCACAATGATTCTGCCCAAGGCAACAGTAACGCCTAAAACAATGTCATCACCACTACTAGCAAACCAACTGGCCTACCAGCAGAAACTCAGGAACACTGATTACATTTCCTCTCCCGAGTAATGCCCCTCTAGCAAGGAAGTCTATAACCCAGATGAAAGTTTAGGATGCAACTGCTAATGCTAGGAATGAACCACTGTTAAATCTCCTCAGTTATTGAACTGGGCATTCAAACTACTGCGAAGCTAGAAAGCACCACAGCTTCCTGAACAAAAACAATCCCCAAATTTTAATTTCCAACAAGGGTGACCCACAATCTAGCAAGGCAACTCTGCTTCCAGGCACTTCCTACATTTTTCCCTAAGTCTCTCCTAAAGACGCAATAGAAACACAGCATCACTAAAGGGCCTCAGGAGTCCAAGAAGCAAATAAAATCACCCCTGATTTGTCCCTAGTGTCGCACACTAAGGGTAATTCGAAATAATGAGAAAAAAAAAAAAAAAAAAAAAGACTCCCGGCCCAGCTAGCAACTGTGTTCACCCACACTTGCCCTGCCTACCACTACAAACTGCCTTCACACCCTTACTGGGCCACTGTCCTGCGAGGGATGTCGGGGAGCCCTTCCATCCTTGGCCACCTCTGCAGAACCCACAGCCGAGGAGGACGCATTTCCCACGAGCCAGAATTCCCACCTAGCAACACTTCGTCGCCAGGCGAAGGGCGAGCCCGGCACCCCGCTTGAAGTGGAAAGGCCCATGGCTGGCCTGAGGTCCGCCCCGCGCTTCGCCGGCCCACTGGACGCCTCGCGCCCCCGCCCTTGCCACCCAGCAGGGCGCGGCGCCCCCTAGCAGCAGGGCAAAGGATACAGTCGCAGCTCCAGAACGCAGAGCCTGGCAGGGAGGGGGCCGCCGCGCCCGCCATCTTGAAACAACCGCCACTCGAGGCGTCGCGCCGGGGCTGCCACGCCCCGGCCTCCAGGCTTGGTCCCCATTGGCCGCTCGTCGCAGAGGCCCGCCCCCGCTTGCCCCTCTGGCCCCGGCAAGGGGAGAAGCTGCGGGCCGAGGCGAGGCGGGGTCGCGGAGATGTGAGGTGAGGCCCGGGCCAGGGTCGCGGGAACGAGCGCCTGGCGGAACTGCTGCTGTTAGAGCCGCTCGGGCCGCCCATCCACTCCTAGCGGAGCCCTCAGGCCCCGAAAACTACAACTCCCGGCATGCCGTGAGCCCGACGACCGCAGAGCTGAGGCGGGGTCGGGCGCGTCAGCCGGCCGGCCGGCTCCCCACGGCGGCGCCGGGAGCTGTGGCCGCCGCTGGCGCGCGAGGAGCGGGAACGCGTGCCATGGAGGAAACGCCACCCCCACTGCAAGCCGGCAGCAAGCCGCACCTGGAGAAGTTGACCCTGGGCGTCACCCGCATCCTAGGTGAGTGCGGTGGGAAATGGCTGCAAAGGACCAGGGTGGAGGGCTGGCTGCTGGTTGCACTGCGTGAAGCTGGACCTGACTGCAGAGGGCTTCGCTGCTGCGAGTTCCACAGTTAAGGGAAAAAGGGGGTGTCCGACCAGGCCGGAAAGTGTGTGCTGAGAGTTCGGGAATGGTTGCCTTGCACCTGGCAAAGGGGAGCAGAGAAAGGCAGCGGGCACCTGCAACCTGGGGGACGCGACTCCAAGGAGACTTCCTCAGCCCAGGTTGTATTTTGGAAATGCAAGCCCTGCTAGTGGTAACAGAATAAACTGAGGAAAGGATGCTGCCAGTGTCCCAAGGCAGCCAATGCCAAGCGCCTCCTCGTGCAGTGCCAAGCTTTGGAAGGGAGCCAAAGCTGGCAGCGTTGTACAAGTTGAGGGTTTTTTTTTTTTTTAATTGAACATTGATTGGCTAAGTAATCACCACTGTGTTAGAAACTGCGGCTACAACGATAAAGGAACAGGGTGTGTGAAACCAACAGTAACTTCCTAGCAGCCCAGAACAAATCAGTTGCCTGTCATTGACTAATCAGAGGGAGTAGAGACCGAGACGTGCCTGGCCTTTCTGGAAAGTTTAGAAGAATCTTGTCCCAGAGATGATTCTAGATTTCAAAGATAAAGGAAGGGGGCGGGGTAAAGCTGCTGCCTAACCACGCCTGAGAAAGTATATTTCAAAGCTTTCCTCTCACAACTATGACAAAATCGGAATTTCTCTATGGTGATCCACAAGTTCCTTGGATCATGTTTTCTTGTTTAAGCCACTGCGGACATCTTGCTGTTGAGGATATAACATTAAAGACACTAAGGTCTTTTCTACTTGTAGCCATTTTCAGTTTCCTTGGCCTTCTTCCACCTGGAATTAACTTGCTCTCAATGTCTCCCATCCATTATTCAGATTCCTCATCAAATTAGTATCTCTAATAAACCTCACACACACCCTTTTAATTACACCTTTCCACCGTGCTATCGTGTATCCCTGCACACACACTCTTTTTTCCCCCAATATTAGCACCATGTGAAATTATGTGTTTATTTGGTAATAGAAATCTGAGACCAGATCTGATTTATTCTAATAATGTGTGATTTGTTTAGTATGTAAAAACTAATGTAATAAAATGTTAGTAGAATAAAGGACAAAGCCTGCATCATGAATAACTGCCAAAAAGGTACTTGACAAAAGCCAGCATCCTTTCCTGATTGAAAAGAAAAGAAAAACATATAAGTAGAAAATACCAGTAATAATGACACATGTTTGTAATCCTAATACTGGGAAAGGAGTATGATGTTGACCACAAAGTTAGGCTGAGCTAGTAATAAATTTTTTCCTCAAAATAAAAGCAAAAAAAGAGTAGAGAATCTTATTTTTTAATAAAGGGCATCTGTGAAAAATCCCATAGCTAACATCATGTTGAAACACTATCTTCTTTACTCTTAAGACTAAGAACAACAAAAACAAAATGTTCTTAAAGGTCAGCGAAGCTGGTACAGGTTTGCTGATTCACTGGGCTCAATTTGTTCCAGCAGAAAGATATAACGCAAAATCAGCAAAGGGGGGAAAAACTGCAGGCAAGGGAGTTAAGGAAAAGCTGCGGACCGGAAACCACACAGGGCATGCTTAATTTCCCTAGCAACATGTTTGTATCAATATGCCTGTAGTGTGTATCTAGAAAGCAGTCTTAAACTGAGGAGTCCAAAATTTATTGGAAATTGATGTAGACATTCTTTTCTAGCATGTACCAACTTCCAGTCTCCCAAAAGAAAAACATATATTCAACTACACTTTATTTGCATTAGCAGTTTGGACACAATGAGCCATTTCCATCTAAAAGTACTGGAAACCTCACTGAAATCCAGCTTCTCAGATGCCATCCAAGAGCAAACCTAACAAGTAGGCCTTGTAAAGATAGTCTTGGATATACTATGCTTGATATTTTCAATCTTAGCATTTTTACTCAGCATTGTATTAGGGATTCTGACCAAGGATTAGGCAGGAAAATAAAGTAAATTATAAGAGGAAAAGTTGATCTGTTTGCAAATGATAAACCCTACAAATTAACCCTAAGAGGAATACATGCTATCTATGCAATAGCAGAAAGCAATACTAAAATAAAATCAAGAAAGCAACTAATTACAACCATACCAAAAGAATAAAATATAAATAAGTTAACAAAGAAATCTGTCACTTCTGCACTAAAACAGTAAAAGTCCTTTAAAGGATAGTAAGAACAAAATAAAAAAGAAGAAATGTCATCTTTTTGTGGTTTTTCCCGACTAGATCAACAAATTTAGGATCTCCAAATACTGTCAAATCTCAGCTGTCTCTATTGCAGAAACTGACAAATTAATACTAAAGTTAATATCGAAATATATGAGACCAGAAATAACCAAAACAGTCTTGGAACAGAAGAAAAATTTACTCATTGGGGATGACTAGACATTGGGGAAATGGTAGTGGTTGTGACTATATAACAAAGTGAATAATTATGCCATTGAACTCTACATTTAGGCATGGTAACAAGGATAATTTTTTGTAACATGTAATTGCTCTAATAAAGATGATTTACTACAGAATTATAGTAATAATTTTTAGAGGGGCACCAGCATAAAAATAAAAATACAGATCTATGGTAAAGAATTGAAACTTAAAAAATGGCTGTCATGTTTAAAGTTCAGTGATTGTATTTTTTAATATGGATGTGAAAACTATTCAATAGGGGGAATATTTTCAATGAAATATTGTTACAACAACTTGATGCCCACGTTTAAAATCTGGTCTGAGGAAACCAAAGAAGGTGTCAGATCCCCTAAAACTAGAGTTACAGACAGTTATAAGCTGCCATGTGGGTGTTAGGAGTGAAAACTCCTAACTTTGGATGAGCAGCCAGTATTCTTAACTGCTCACCCATCACTCCAGCTGCCCCCCCCCTTAGTTTAGTTTTTAACCAAATTAGAATAAATAGAATTTTAAATATGAGACAAGAAAAGGAATAAGTAGTTTATAAAAATTAAAAATGTGTTTTTGTGGATACCATCAAGTGACAACACAGCCCCAAAATAGAATATCTGTAAATCATTATATGAAAAAAAGATTACAAGTAAAAAAAAAGCAAACAAACCAAAACTAGGAATTTAGCAATTAAGGGTAATCTGAATTGTGCCAATTTTTTGAACCATATTTATGTAAAGGTGATTGTCATAAGTCAGATAAAGAGATCAAAGCCATAATGAGATACTACTTCACATCGACTAGAATGGCCATAATAAAGACTGATATGAGTATTTGTGAAATTAATTCAAATCCTCATGGACTGCTGGTGAGAATGTAATTTGGCACAGCAACTTTGGAGAAGGGTTTGACTCTTCCCAAAAAGATTAAACACGAAATTGCTACATGATTCAACAATTCCACTTCTCTTTATTTATCCACAAGGAAAAAAAAGATTTACATACAAATACTTGTCTCAAATATTCTTTTTTATTAATTTATTTACTTTACATCTCAGTTGCAGCTTCCCCTTTTCCCAGCTCCTCTCTCTCGACTTTCCTCTTCCTACCCCTCTCATGCATTCTCCTTTTTTTCCTCAGAAAAAAAGATTGCTATTCCATGGATATCAATCTTCATTGGCATATGAATTTGCAGTAGGACTAGGTGCATCTTCTATTGAGGCTAGATAAGGCAGCTCAGTTAGGGAAAAGGGATCCAAAGGCAGGCAACAGAGTCAGAGACTCTGTTTCTGCTGTTAGGAGTCCCACATGAAGACCAAGCTGCACAACTGTTACATATGTCAGAGGGCCTGGGTCCATCCCATGCATGCTCTGTGTTTGAGGTTTCAGTCTCTGTGGGCCCCTATGGGCCTGGGTAGTTGATTCTGTAGGTTTTCTTGTGGTGTCCTTGACCTCTTTGGCTCCTTCAATCCTTCTTCCTCTCTTCCACAGGATTTCCTAGGCTCTTCCTAATGTTTGGCTATGGGTCTCTGCATGTTTCCATCAGCTGCTGGGTGAAGCCTCTCTTATGACAGTTATGCTAGGCTCCTGTGTGCAACTATAACAGAATATTATTAATAGTGTCAGGGATTGGCTCTTCTCATGGCATGGGTTTCAAGCTGGGCCAGTCATTGTTTGGCCATTCCCTCAACTTTTGTTCCCTCTTTATCCCTGCACATTTTTTAAACAGGATAAATTGGTTGAAGGTTTTGTGGTTGGGTTGGTTTCCCAATCATTCAATTGGAAATCTTTTCTGGTTACAGGAGAGTTCCCAAATATTCTTAGAAGTATTGTTGGTAGTAATGTAAATTGAAAATCACTGAACTATCCCGCAAATGAATGGATGTAATATAGATAGATAGATAGATAGATAGATAGATAGATAGATAGATAGATAGATATAGATAGATATGGTTTAGTTATACAATAAGAAAATATTTTTTTAATTTAAAACAGATTTTTTTCTCACATAATATATCTTGATTACAATTTTCTCTCCCTCTTCTCCTCCCAGTTCCTCCCTACTTCCCCTCTCACCAGAGCTACTCCTTTTATATCTCTCATGAGAAAACAAAAGGCTTCTAAGGTATAATACTAAAATGTAACAAAATTTAAAAAAAAAGAAAAAATGTAACAAAATAAAATATAATAAGACAAAACAATAAAACAAAACTATCACTTCAGAGTTGAACAAAATTGACAACAGAAGGAAAAGAACCCAAGAGAAGGCACAAGAATCAGAGATATACTCTTTACACACTCAAGAATCCCATAAAAATCCCTAAACTGGGAGCCATAATATATACACAGAGGACCTGGTACAGACCTCTGCAGGCCTTCTGAACTCAGTCTCAGAGTTCATATGAGCTTTAATTATGTTGCTTAGAGAGCCTCATTTTCTTGGTGTACTACATCCATTCTGACTCTTACAGCCTTTCTTCCTACTCTTCATCTGGGTTCCTTGAGCTCTGAAGGGAG